AGTTTCCTTGGAAGTTCGCGCGCATATTACACCATCTGCAGTCCCTTGGCTATGGATTCGACGTGTTCCTTCGCCTTGAGCCTCAGAGCGGCAATGGAGTGACTTCGAGGGTCATGTGACGACGGCGAACTGACGGGCGGCAGCTTGGTGGTGTTAGGGGCGACGCTAGGCGTTGAGTCGGTCGTGGGCACGATGGGTGGCGTGAGGTAGCTGGGATAGCCCGTCTGAGGGTGCGATAGGAAGCCGGGTAATGCGCTGATGAGTGGCGGAGCGAGCCACGGATCTACGGGCAGTGCCAAGCTGGACCCTGCGGCGCGGCCCAGGGACCCTACGGAGTGATAGTCGTTCAGCCCTAGACGCGCTGCCTCCATCTTCTCCTGACGTCGCCATTTGGCACGTCGATTCTGGAACCATACCTGCGCACAACAAGGTCAACCATCTGTTAAACAAGTCACTTCCAGCGTTCACATGTTGACAACAACAACAACAGTCTGTTAGAAATTGACCTTAGTTTCGGAGTTTTTTACAGCTTCCATCGTCAGGGTGATCTCCCTCTGAAACGTCTGTAAGTTTTAACTAGTTAGCACAGTTTAACATCCAAGAAAACACACACTCTGGGAAAATGAATTATCAATTAACGACGACAAATGAAGGTTTCCTGTCCAGGAGATATTTCGTTCAATATAAAAAATGGTGGATTTACGAATAACCGATTTTCAAGTAAGCGATCACAGAGGAAACTTTAACATTTTAAACATTGCATTAATAGACTTAAAATGACGATATTGACAATAATAATGTTTATCTAAATATTTTTCAGATTTAGAGGATTATTACATCTTGAATGTTACGATGCGGATTAATCTACTTACGTACACTTGAGTCCTTTGGAATTCGTTATGATTCTCTGTATGAAGAAAACGCCTCAAAAACCCTAGACGCAAGGGTTTGGTACACCCCTGCCCTAAATTACACCATAAAAATCGAATTATTCTGAACAAACAATTGTAAGTTATTATAATTTCATCATCTTAAATTGTATCTGCCCACACGTCAGGTACAAACCTTGTTCATAAGACACATTATATAGTAACTTTGATAAAATAAGTTATAAAAATCAACCTTTATTGTTTTTACCAGTAATAAAATTTTATTAATTCTTCTCGGGCTACTGCCAGGCGTGTGTAAGGTGGTTTGACGGAGAAAACACCAAAGTTTCGAGAACCATCTTCGTCCTCATCCTCAGGGTACTTACACGGCTGGTAGCCCGAGAAGAATTCATTGGACTTAGTCGCCGTGAAAGCTTCAGATAATATATTTAAGAAAGTTTATTGTTAACTTATCTTTGCTAACCACAGTAAAAGTACAAAAGTATAACATTTCTTTATAAAGTGAATTAAATTTGAAAACACATTCACGGCGACTGAATCAATTAACTATCCTTTTAGATTCTTAATACCCTAGATAATAGGCAGTTGTGGTAAGCGGCCATTACCTCATTCAATAAGTATTCCTTTCATCTGAATACATCAGGAGATACTATTAAGAGCGTAGTATTCGGGCCGATAAATAATACGGGCCTTAGATGAATTAAACTGCTCGTTTAACAGCCGAACATTAAAATATAAGTCTATAAAATGACTCATCGTAGAGTATTTTTTAATGTTTTTCAGAAGTTCAGCATATCAAATTTTTAAAAAATTTCTGAAGGGCTCCAAATGCATACCTGAAAGTGAAATTATGCCCACATGCAGAAGGGCACGTAAGAATAATTACAGTGAATGAAACTTACATCTGTATCGTGTATAAAGTTTTAAAGAAGTCCTACAAAATTTATAAAATAAATTTTTACTTAGGATTTTAACTAAAATTCCCTTCAAAATAATTCAGACGAATGAACTTCTCGGTCTACATGAAAATATTAGTACACGTGAAAAGCAAATTACGTATTCATGCGTTATAATATCATTTGTAGAGTCGTATAACAACTGAATCACTTAACCTTACAGCAACTACTGGTATTATTAGCAGAGCCAAATACCGGCCAAAGCTCTGTATTGCCATAATTTCATGTACGTAGCTGAGTGAGCCCACACTCTCAAAAGAGCTCACTGAATTATCCTTTTTGAAGCCGAAATTTCGTCTAAATAATATTTAAAAATTCATTTCATTCAAAGAAAATACAGAAATTTATCATTATATTGATCAGTTGATTAATGTTTAGGAAAATAATCGATGTTTATTCTTAAAATAATACTAAACTTGCACTCTGTGAACAAAATACAGAGTTAGTAATTATTAAAACAGGTGTTACATTTGGTATCACTGGTCTGTAAGAGGTTATGTATATTATTCAAGTTTATTTTTCATGTATCTACGTCTGCAGTCATGTCATCAGGCTTGTGTAGATCATGGCGCAACATTCTAACTTTCGTGCCAAATGATTGACGCAGAATTCAGTGCAGTCACCTACAACATTTTAAGTCAATAATCCTCTGATTATATAATCGCAGTTGCCAAAACCCCTTGAAGCAGCTTGCACTGCGTTTGTGCGTCTGTCCAACCCACACAAAAGAACTATTTCCCGGTGAATGTATCTAATTTTCGTGACTGCCGGCGTCAAACACACGGAGGTCGATCTTGTTTGCGACTCGCGCACCCTCTGGCAGCAACAAACGCACTCTCTCGCCTCTCCCCTAACCCTCCAACCCCTCCCCCAAGTGCTTCAAACTCTGCCAAATTGGTTTTGAACTGATACATTAATTGACAATTTAGCACAATTCTTCGCGTGGGTAATGGCTTGCTGAAGCTGTCTCAAATTGAGAAAATCTAATAAAGAAACTTTTCCCCATGGAAAGATGACGCCTGCATTGAAAAAAAAAAGTACAGCCCTGGCTCTACTAAAGGCAGACGCCAACACCAATAAATAGTTTGTGGAACGAGGGAACACAGAGTTTTGTACAGAGAGCGCCTTCAAAAAGAGCTCTCTAAACAAGTTACCAGGATGAAGTCTCGCCTCCCACCCTCCCCCACAATTCCCCTCACTTCTTCGTCGTCTCTTTTAAAAAAAAAAAAAGCAGGAAATTTCAGTTTCTTTTCCATTTTCTTTAATCTCCACGCTGTAAACTCTGCCCTCTGGCAGCCTTTTAAAAACGTAAACTTGTCCGAAAATGAGTTTCATATGAGAATTGACGAAGATTTAATAAAGCACTTGGCTGACATTCTTATATCAAAACTCAGTTAGCGTACCTTGATAAAAGAAAAAAAGATAGATGTTCTTATAACCATGTCATTACCGGCTCTTGCAAAGTTGTACATGATTGCTCGGAAAAACAACATTTCATGCATATTATGTCTTTATAATGTTCCATCAGAAATAAAATAAGAATAACTAGTTGTTCCGAGATTAAACTTGCAAAAACGTTTTGCGTGTGACTTCAAAAGGTTGATACAAGGTATATTAATAAGCCAGTTAGTATATAAAGAGCTGAAATTAAAAAGACGATAATCCTACACTTGTCTCCAAATTAAGTTTCAAGTCGTCGCTCCCTTATAAAAGTTTAACAATTCTCCATGCATTTATTTGCCTTGCGCGTTATTCGTTTAATTTGAAATTTATAGTATCTGTAAACAAGTTTTCCTTTAAAATTACTATCCATACGTCAATTTCCTCATAATTAGTTAATAAATTCACATAATGCAGTAAGATATATTAATGTTATCTCTGAACTAAGGTATCTGTTTCGTGTTCGGGAGGCCCGAAATTCGGTTTTAGGTCCGGAGTCATCTCATCTTGAATTAGGCCTTTTGTGGTTTTTCTTGGTTATTTAAGATAAATTCTGAGAGTTGCCTTTAATCAAGTCACAACCAATTTCTTCAATTAGTCATCCTCCTATGAAATGTATCCACTTACAAAAGTCTTTAAGTAAACCGATTTAGCAATAAAAAAATGTGGGAAAATTTTTATTTTGATTTCCGCACGGAAATGAGTGTCATGGAAACCTCAGCTTACGTTCGTAAAATATTTCATTTCGAAATTCCGTGATTTATTCCGCATGTAACTTACTTCTTGTTAATAATACGTCCTGCAGTGTTATATCGACGTATTTATAATACATTTTGACGGAGTAAATTATGGTAACACAATCCTCTGCCCTGCCCATTAGATCTCTGCGTAGACTAACAATTAATAATGAACTGTAGTTTATTCACGCTGAATCACGTGGTCACTGAAGCTTGAGACAGCGGACAGCGGAAATATTTAACTTTAAATTTATACTTTTCTTTCCAGAAACGAAACTTTAGAAGATTGAATTTTGTATAAAATCCTTTATGTCATTAGTAAATCTTTAAAAAAATTAAGTAGGGCTAGTGTATGTCTGTAAATAAACTTAAGCATTTGTTGCATTTGAGTGTTTTTCTTACATTTTTAGCGAATTATCCAGGATTTTGATTATCCTAAAAAATATATTTCCCAACCAACCTGAATAATCAAGAGTCTTCTGTAAGTGATTACGTTAGTCTAACAAACAATATAAATTATCCATATTTGCTGTACGCCTACTTCCAATGTTATACAAGTAGCCTATATGTGGCAGAATCTAATTTTAACAATAACACTTTGTTATGAACACTCAGGATTTAATTAATTCTGGACACGTTCTCCATAGCGTTACTTGCATTCAATATATTTTAATTCCACCGAAACGCCTAGACAACATAGCAAATCACAAAATTATATAAGTTTGTCAAATTATTACGTACAGCTACAAACGATTAACATCGTAGTGTTCCTTAGCACTTCTGGAAGGGCCGGTCGAATTTATGTCCTAATTTTTATTCTACGTGTCCTCATATTATTCGAGGAAACAGTCCGATGGAATAGGCGTAGTTATTTAAACTCCATTCTTTTTCATTTTAAATTCGTCCTATCATCACGCAATTCTATGGCAGGTCTATCAGAAGACCTGTGGTCTATAATGAGATTTCACTCTATATGCTTCGCCTGCATTTAATATCAGTGAGATTTTAATGAGCGTCGCCGCGTATATCTACCTTGAAGGAATGTATCAGCGTCAGAGAGAGACATCGCTTCTTCAGAGTTCGTATCGCGTTATTTTGTTCGCTGCTGGAAACCTCCTTGTTTGTCGTGACAGCGTCTCATTTCCGGTCCCGGCAACATCTCGTTCCGTTTCCTTATTCGAAGTTCTGCGGTTCGATCAAGCCCCTCAGCCCACGCTACACCCAACTTCCTAATGAGATTTGAATACGGGCTTCGCTGTCAAGATGTGACAACCACTCATCACTTTGCTACTCTCATTGTGCGCCGATCGCCATACTCGTCTTTTCTAACTTAAGACAGTTCGTGTTTATCTTCAGACCCTTGCGTTCTTCTACACCTGCAACCCGCAGTTCG